GTCAATTCTATAAATATCATGTCAAGCTGTCTCTTTATAATATTAACATCTCGCTCTTTTTTTCTCTTACAACCGTAGTCTCTAATTTCGTCTAAATTCATAGAAGTAAATGAAATTGAAAATACTAAATTTCACTAAATTATTAAAGTCAAGAGCTGTTTTGTAAATTTTATGTTCTTAATTTTTCTATGTTTCTTGAATAACTACTAAAAATATCTACTTGTTTTACTTATTCTTTATTTTGTCCCTAAATTCTAATATTTTATATTCTAATTTAAAACTAAGGTTCCATTTACATCCATTATTTCTACTTTGAATTTATTCCCAAGTTCTTTCTTTCAAATCATATAAACAAACTTTTAAGAAACTTACTATTCTCTACAACCCTTTTCTTCAAGTTTCCTTTCATTTTCTTTGTTTATCTTAAGTTCTTGTTTGAAAATTCCTTTTTCCTTTCAATACACAATTATACTTAAAATCTTGGTATCCAGAATAAGCAACAGCCTCCCAAAGAGAAATGGCCATGTCTCTAGCCTCAATTACAGCATATATCTACCATCTTTCCTCCCATTCGGACCATCTATTATCTGGTCCTCTCTGCCAATTGACCATTAGGGCTTGTTCAATTCATCATCTCTGCCAACACAGGCCACACACACACCACAACAGAGATGGCCACAAACACACACGTAACTCGCCTATTCAGGCTTCCCAAAATAGAACGACACCTAATAACAATTTTCGTTCAATCGACCATGAAGGAACTGAAACCAATCAAACAAAATGTAAACGGCGACGAAAAAAACAAAAAAAAAATGTAAAACACATACTAAGAGAGAGAATAAATTGGAAAGAGAAAAAGAAAAGAGAAATGAAGAGAGAAATCAGTGTCTAGTTACCTAGTCGAACAAGAGAAGCTGAAGAAATAAAGAGAGAAATTAATATCTGGTTACCTGATCAAATAAGAGAAGCTGAAGATGAAGATGGTTTGTGGCTCTTCAATGTCGGGTTTAGAAGAAGAATAATAATAAACCCTAGAGAAGTAAAGAAGAAGAATGATAAAATGAAAGGTAATTTAGTAAATAATAAAAAATCTTAAGGGTATAATGAGAAAAAATAATCGAACCATCATTAAAACAACTTAATAAGTGGTTGGAAAAAATGGAAAAAATCATGGTATTGAGGAGCATGAGTCAACCGGTAAAAAACTGTACCATGCATTTGGTAATGCAAACAAACAAAATAAATCGTGAAAAAATCATACCATATTCACTGAACTATCATCCAAACAGACCCTAAGGAGAGAAAGAGAGGCGAGTGTGTTGTTCGAGAGGGTCAAGGTGCAAGAAAGTGAAAAGGAAAATGGGTCACTAGGGCAAAAAGGTGGAAGAAGGAAGTTGTGTTGGTTTCTTGGGCCGACCAAGATGGGCAGAGAAGATGGCAACGTAACAAAGAAAGTTCCTAGTAATAAACAATAAATTGTTTGACGCAATTTGTGAGGGGAAGAAGATGGACGATACGAGCATTAATGAGAACATAACATGATTTCAGGTGTCAAATTCGTTAGAGGAAAAGGAGGTGGAGCGGTTAATGGATGCATTTGCAGACTTTTACTTGAGGAAGGGGGGAAAACACGGGGGAACACAACCGGGAAAAGGCACAACCTTTGGGTGGCGATGAGATGAAATTGAAATGGGAGATTGTTGGTGCTAACATAAGAGAAAGGGCGAGTAGTGAAGTGGATCTTTATTTCAGAAGGACACAAAGTAGGAAGCTGGTGAAAGGTGATAAGATCGATGTAAGAATCTACAGACTAACCTTTGGTCAATTCGTATAACAAACAGAGGGAGGTAGTAGTTATGGGTGAGGAAACTGAAGAAATAAATAAAAAGAGATTACACAGAGGAAAAAGGTCATTATGTGTCTTTACTATTAGGTGAATCTCCATATCCTGATGGATGTGGTAGTGAGAGTCGTTCACAAAGTGGTCTAGAGTGAGAGAGATGTTGATCGGGTAGGAAGATACAACCTAAGAAGAAACGGAGTGGGACAATTTGAATTT